GGCAGCGCGTCGCTGGGGGTTTGTGTGGTGCTGGGGGAGCCGGGAGGTCCCTCGGTTACACTTCGGGATGCGCTAGTTAGAGGTGGTGAAACAGGGTGAACTTTGTCCTGCCAAGGTTGCAGCCAGTGTCTGATATTTTCCATCCAGAGGAGGCACAGAACAGCTCCGTGCTGCGATGTGATACAGGCGGAGAGAGGGTTGTGCGTATGCGTGTGTACAAATAGGTGTGTGGCAGGGAGGGGGAGAAGGATTTCGTTTTGGGAAGTGCCCTGGTGTGCTTCAGAACTGGAAAAGGCAGAAGGAGGTTGGTGTTGGACTACAAGAGGCTCTGGCATCGAAATGCGCAGTCACGGGAACTTTCTCCAGGCGTGCAGCTAGAAACTTTTGACTGAGGACGCACCAGCAGGCTGGCAACTGCCTTTAGACTTTAAGTCTCCCTTTCACTTTGCTTTTGGAGTTTTAAAATTTAGAGTCTCTATTCCAAGTGCTGTCATGGGAGAAAGAGCTGGGGAGAAGCGGTGTCAAGAAGCAGAGAGAGAAGAGGAGACTGGTGCCAGGAGGGAAATAAGGGGGATCAGGCACTGAGAACAATCAGTGAGCAGGTATCCCGAGTAACTGGAGCCAGGAAGCACATGGTAGGAATTGGGTTAATTCCATTAAGCAGTTTGGTGACAGAAGGTGCTTTAGTGTTAGAACGGGCTGCTCTCCAAGCCAGGGAATTGCTGCGGATTAGCCCTGTGCTCCTTGGGGTAATTAGGACCATGTGTTCCTCTGAGAGCAGAGGTGTAGCCAAGCAGCTAAGGGGAGGATGCAGCTGGAGAGCGGCTTCAAATGACGTCGGTGTGCCCCAGCCTGGCAGTGATGGCCCCTCTCAGGGTAGTTAGTTTTCTTCCTTGTCCCAGCTGCATGAGTAACAAGTGGCAGAGGACTCTTCTCTTTGCCTTCTTGTGAAAGCAAAAGAGAATTAACCGGGCCCCGTTTGAGGGAATGGGTGCGAAATGAGGCTTACTCCATGCAAGACTGGATGCTGTGTGATTTGTGAACTAGGAGGGCGAAGCCTGGTGAGCCTACCTGCACTGGCAGGCCTCCTGCCCCTCTTTCTGCTCCCGGGCTGCAGGAAGAGGTGGGGGGCTGGCGAAGGGACGGTTGTGCCCCATGGCTTCGGGGCGGTGTGAAGGTGCCGAGAGGGCAGCAGCAGGTTGGCGAGGGGAGAGGCTGGTAGCATGCTGGCCGAGGAGAAGGTGGCGGGTGGGTGCTGGCAGGCACGATGGGGTGGCTCAAGGGGGAGAGGGTGTCTCGGGGTCCGGGGTGGGACAGACCCCTGGCCACCTTGGGAAGGTGGAAGCTCAGTTGCAGCAAAGGGGCAGGCCCTTCTTGGCAGTGCAGGGGGGTTAGTGGCCTTTTGAGTCTCGTTCTCTGCTCACTCTGGGTTTATTCGGTGAATTCCTGTCCTTCCCTTTTCCAGATGGTGACCCGAACGAAGAAGATATTTGTGGGTGGTCTGTCCGTGAACACTACTGTGGAGGATGTGAAACAGTATTTCGAGCAGTTTGGGAAGGTAAGTCCCTTGAAAGCTGTTGCTTCTGGGGCAAAAAGGAGTTTTCTGAACTGCTGTGGAGGCGGGATTAGGAGCTTGCGAGTCTTTGCTTGGGGTTAAGTAGATTGAAGGTCAGTTACAGATGCTGGGTGGCTGTAACGTCTTTGTAGGGGCTGCAGCTGGTGAATTCTGCACTGTGTTGATTTGAAACAAAGAGTTTGTGCTTGTTCCTGGAGTCAGTAGGACCTGCGCTAAGGGAAATGGTTTTCCATTTTTCCCCTATCCCTTTTCCATTTTTTCCCTATGCCTCGTACGGCATTTTGGTCCTGCAGATTTGCAGTTTGTTTAAATGCTGGAGGAAGTCTTGGAGGCGCTCCTAACAGAGCAGCTGCGGCGTTGGACCTGTGATTCTGGCCTGTTTCTGACTCTAAGCCTGGTGATTGATATTTTGGTAATCCTTTATTAAAATAAGCCCTTTGGTCCTGAAACTTCTTCTGCTGAGTCTTGGGCAAGTGGTGATGTTGCTTTCGAATGTTTGAAGAAAGTTTGGCACTACGGCTGTCCCTGGTGTTGATCTGGCTTTTCTGTGCCAGCTAGTGGCTCAGGGGTGGATGGAAGTCCATGAAAGCCAAGTGTGCAAACTGCGAGTTGGGACCAAAGAGAAGGGGGCTCAGTCTTGGCCCTTCAGTCCCCTGTCAGGAGGCTGTGAGCATCCCCCGGAGCAATCTCAGTAGTATGAGACTGAAGGATCCCAAGATTTGTAATGGGATTAGGAACTGGAGGGTATCATCGTATCCAAATGCTGAATGCGGTCACCTCTGGGGCAGGGCACTGTGACTGTTTCACTGTTGTTCGGTGGTGGTGTGCGTGGGTTTGGTGTTTGGGGCAGGAAGCGTTGGATTCTGTAGCTGTTGGGACCTTCCTGCCCAGCTAGCGGGGCAGAACACAGTTTGCTGGGTGGTAATCTGGCCAGGTCATTGCTGGTACCGTCATGGATGTGGAGGAAAGCACCACAGGAGCTGCAGAGCATGAGGGATTAATTTCCTTCTGAAAGATCCTGCAAAAGGGTGATGTTATGTCAAGGCACGTTAACTGGTGAAAGGAAGGGGAGTTTTGTAACCAGTTTTGCTGTGTCATTGGAACTTTGGGCAGAAGGTTTGGAAGAAGTGTTTGCTCAGTACCTCTGTTCAGCTTCTGAAGTCTAACCTGCATGTCCTGGGATGCTGTCGTGACTGCAAAGTGGGACTCCTTCGTATTTCTGTTCAGTCCTAAGAGAACGTGGCAATAGCAAAAGTTGTCAGATACCCCTGTGTCTGCTAGTCATTAGCTCTGTGTGATTTTATTTTCCATTAGAAATAAACAAACTCTGCTGTGTCCCCAAGAGCTTTACGTGGTGTCACTGAAGGTGTCGCTGCTAAAGGTGGTGCCATCCGTGTGTCTGTGTAGGCTGAAGGTTGTTAGTTCCGCTTGCGTGTGCCTCTGCGCCGTCGATGGATGCGTTTGGTAGGAAAACAACATGTCTTGGGTGTAATCCCCTTTTAACTGGAACTGTACCTCTGTTAATTTGAAGCAGGACCATGCCACATAGTGCTCTGTTTACAAGCAGCTACAATTGCTCTATTTTGAGAAGTACTTTCTGGTTCTTTTGGGGTGTTAGGCTGTTATGTTCCTCTTGTTTAATGGTCATGTGCTGAAAGGTGTCCTGACGTCAGGAGGCTGGCGAGAACTGGTTGTGTCAGATTGCTTGCTGGCGACCGGGCAGAAGGAAGAGTTCCGCATAGCTCGGTGCAATTCATTTCCGAAAATCAGCATCTCGACAACATCCGGTGCCCAGGATCTGCGTGAGGCCGATGCAGCTGGCCTCTTGGCACTGGGGAGTTTCCGTGGGGAGAGGTCAGGGCTGGTCAGATTGACTCCCTGTTTTTGGGGCAATTTTCTGACTCATCTGGCCATTTCAGCTGAGGAGAGACTCCTCGGAGCTCTAGTATAAAGCGTCTCTCCTGGCCCATAACCATCTTCCAGGCCAAGCCTCAAACAGTGCACTGAAGGCCAGGAGAACTGTTCTGTGAGTTCTCTCCAGTCGGTAGCCCCGTATGGCTGATGCGTGGGATCAGCGGGAAAGCGTGTTTCGGAGGAGAGCCTCCGTGGCCATCAGCTTCAGGGTTCTGAGCTCTGAACGCACCGCTCTGTGGTTTCTAGGGCTAAGAAAAGCCTGTTGCCTTCGGTTTCAGATGTGAGTCATGGAGAACATGGTTTTGGTAGAGGCTCTTTTGGTGTTTGTTTATGATACTCTGGGGCCTCCTAGCTTTCAGAGGTCTCCGAGGATCCCTTCTTTAGAGGTACTCTTAGCACCTGGCTACATGATCTTCATCTCCTTGATTTATGGCATCTTTAAGTGAGAGGTGGTGAAGCTTCTGTCGTGTTATCCTTATCCTGGAAAGCCTATCTGAAAAAATATTTGCCAAGTCATTTGGGCCAGTGCTGCTTCTGGAACTGGACTGGGACTGTCTGAAAAGGAATTGTTAAGGATGCCCTTTTAAAGCATTTCCTTGGAGGACTTACCCTCTGAGAAAAGAGCTTTTTCTATGTTCCCTCTTCTTCCGAGCGGCCCCACAGTTTTCTAGGATCTGGCAGGAGAAAAATCACCCCTCTTTCCTCCTGCCTGTCCAGGGAGGCATGGGAACGCTTAGGACCTAGAGAGGAGAGAATGGGGAGCACTGAGTCATCCCGTCTTGATTCCTCAAGATCAAGGTGCCAGGTTCCCGGGGGTGACTTGTAGCCACTCTGAGAATCCAGTGCAAGCTCAGTTTGGATCTCAGCTTCAGGGAGTGATCATCCTCTGCTTCTGAGGATGAGGCAGTACAAACTGCTGCATGGGTTTTGTGTGAAGGTTATCTTCTAGGTCACCCTCAGGCTGCAAGCCTAAGCATGTGCCAGATTTGCCACCACTTAAGGCCTTTAAATTAGGATACATGCTTTTTTTGAAAAATACATTTTAGTCCAGACAGAAAGCATGCACTTGCTGTAGGAATTACGAGAGGAAGTGCTATGGCTGGCAGTACAGATGAGGTCAAATTAGATTATCATAATGTTCTCTCCTTTCCAAATCTGTGAACCGCAGTTCGCAAGTCTACCAAGGGGGCTAGCATCGATGCCTCTCGTGTCAGAAACGACACACCTCCTGTGCCCATTAGTAGGAAAAAAACAGAAGTTTGGTTGGGCTGGAGATGAAATGGTTTCCCATTTCATAAAACAAAATTCCCAAGTCTGATTTTTCCATTTTGGCCTTTCTGCTTACTCTCCTGTTTTTGCTTTGTTTTCTTTCCTTGCTGTGTCCAAAACCTTCTCTCAGCTTTGTAAAATGGAAGTGGCAAAAGAAAAATGAAAATGTGTGAGGAGGAGATCCATGAGTATTACTTAGGGATAAAGGAAGGAAGGGAGAGGCTGGCACCCCAGATCTTCGTATCAAAATATTTGGTTTTAACAGGCACAAAAGATGAAGCTTCACAGAGGATCCCCAATACAGTGTGAGTTTCTCTGCTTCAAAAGAAGGATCACTTTATTTTTTTTTTTTTCTTCCAAAACTGTGAATGAAAAATACAGGCTGCTGTTTTCCTGAGGAAAAAAAATACAAAGCGTTTGGGTTTGTTTTTTTTAGTACAGTGAGAGAGACTGAGAAGTGCTCTCAAGCTGGCTGTGGTTTGTCAGGTGCAGCTGCTAGAGCTTTGAGCATAACAGGAACTCTAGGAAACACTTCTGGCTCCAAAACTCGAATCTCCCTGAGATGCAAGCTAAGGCCAGGGACTGGCTTTCTAAAGGAGATTATTTTTTCAACTGTAGGACAGAAGTCCTGGAAAGAATTGCATTCACAGTATGTGTAAGCCAAGTGTCTTGGCTTAAGCTGGATGCTGTTGGAGATATTTAGGCTGCACAAGGAAGTATTTCAACGGCCTCCCTAGATTCAGGCTAACACCCTCACTGAAACCTGAAACAGAGGGAGAGGAGGAAGGTATCTTGCACCTACCACCTCGGGCATGCCTAGTCCTCTGTCTAGTTCAACACGTATGAGGATGCCTCCGAGGAGCTTGAGTCCCAGCTCTTCCTTTTCTACTTCAACCCGTGGGAGCACGTTGTTTGATATTATTTTTGGGGGGGAAAAGGGGTTCTCCATCAGAATAATTTCTTTGGACCATTGGGTCTCTGATCTTGTCAGCAAGGTTATTTGTTTCAAACAAAGCTGAAAAAAACGCAGATCATCTTTCTTTTTCAAGGGTTGGTCTGATGAGGTGTTGCGGTAGAGAAAGTCAAATCAATTGCAAGATAGGAGGCTCAGAACAAATAAGGTCTTTTGTCGTGGAGCTTATCTAAGCTGTGAAATCTTTGCCCCAGGATGTTGTTGCTAAAATTTGCGTAGGCTCCAAAACGATTGGACAAACTCGTGGAAGGTCTTTTAAATACACAGACATCCCTTTGAGTTCAGGAAATCCCTGAATCACCAAGGGCTGCAAGATGGTGGAGTATTCTGGAGTCTGTTGTACTGTCCTTGCCTTGTCTTTACATTCTTCCAAAGGTGTCTGTTGTTGGTTGGTATCTTGGGGGTGGGGTGAGGGTGTTGTTGGGCAAGGTGGACCTCTGCTCTGACTTGGTGCAGCCAGTCTTCTGTTTGTCATTAGGAGAGAAGCTGGTCCTTTTGGAAACTAGAAATGCAGAGGTACTGGAAGAAATGGGGGCCTGGACCCAGTTCAGGTGTTTGAGCTCATGATTTTTTTGTGTGCTTTCGCATTTTGTGAAGCAGAAGTGCGAGAAATATATTCACGATGATGTCTTTGCATGACTCACTGATCAGTGGTGGCTCCAAGGGTGCTTGAAAAGTGCTTAAAAACAGTCTGCACCTCTCCCTGGGCCTGCAGGTGATCTGTGTATGTGGGTGAGCTGGTCACGAAAGCTCAGCCTCTCTGCGAGGCGGATCGTGCCCAGAGAGAGATCTGCTCTCTAAAAATATCCTGGAAGCAAACAAGAAA